GTGCGATAGGTGCTTATCAGGGCAAAGTATAACGAGCAGACACGCTGCGGCGGCCGGCCGGCCGGCCCGCCCACTGCTGTACTCACCCCTGCTCTCCCCCTCCTCCCCCGCTCTCTCCCTCTCTCTGCCATAAATTAACGGCCGAATGCGTTTTCCTTGCGACTGAGCTGCTGCTGCTGCTGCGCGGCTGTTGTTGGCGGCGGAACTGCTGTGTGTGTGTCGGTACAGGAGGGCCTCGCGGGCCGCGGGCCGCTCGCCCCCACGGCACCCACGGCTCATGCCAGGCGGACCGGAGGGGTGGCGCGGCGGAGCAGCGAAGCAGCGGAGCACTCGTGGACATAATCGTCATAAGCTCCGCACGCCCTCGACAGACGTCTCCCGCCACCACCCCCTCCACCCACTCGCACCGCCACGCTCCGCCACGCCGCTTGGAAATGGCTCCTTCGTGAAGCAGTGATAAAATTTTATATTCATGCATGGTTTCATTATTCATCTGGAAGAGGGGAAAAAAAGATAGAGGTGGGGAAGAGGGCGGCGTCGTGGAAAAGAGGAGAGAGGGGGGTGAAGGAAGAGGGGAGTAAAAGGGAGAGGCGACAGCTGCCTTGACGTTGAGCCGCTCGGCGAGACGCGTGTATGGCAGTGTACTCGTGTGTCTCCCCCCTACGCCCTCGGGGCCGGGTCGGGCCGGGCTGGCCCTGCGGCGCGGGTCACTGCCTCCCGCCCGTTATGGGTCTCCCAGCCCCACATCGGCTGCAAGTACTAAAACCGTGACGGGGACGCCTTTAACCCCACACTTCCCCCTCCCCTATTCGGCCCTCGCGCTCGCTGGCCGGCCGCACGGCCGCACACACACTTCTCTCCCCTCCCCCACGGCCGCACTCCGGACCCTTCCGCTCACCCCGCCCGTGTCGCCCGAAGGCGCCCGGCAGGTAGGCGCGCCCGGCACGCTTGTGTGCTCGCCGGGTGGCCTAGGTTCCCGCCTGCAGGCGCCCACACCGCCCGGGAGGTAGGCGTGCCCGGCACTCTGGCTTGCTCGCCGGGTGGCCTAGGTCCCCGTCTGCAGGCGCCCACCCCGCCCGGGAGGTAGGTGCGCCCGGCACGCTGGCGTGCTCGCCGGGTGGCCTAGGTCCTCGTCTGCAGGCGTCCATCCCAACCGGCCGACAGCCAGCCAAGCCGACTGCGGCAGACCGATAAAATATTTGCCTTTTTCGTAAAGTCGGTCGTATTGTATCGTGGTCAGTGTGTGTGCTTTTTTGTAGTTTCTAACATTTTATATCTTCTACTTTTCCCCCTCAAAAGGCTTGTATCCTCTTTATCTGCCTAGGTGGTGTCGGAGGGCCCCGATGGGAAGAGGAGGGGAGGGGCAGGTTGAAAGGGTGCTGGGGAGAGGGGGAGTAACAGGGCCGGGGGGTTGGGCCGGTGTGCTAGTGCGACCTGCGCTCCGCTCCTCCGCAGAGCGCCATCCCCTCCTCCCCTCCCCGTGCCACGGCGGGAGCAGCGCCGTTGTGATGTTTGCGATGAGAAATTTCCACCTCGCGCGCGGCCGGCGAGGGCGGCGGGGCCCGGGCGGAGGGAGGGGTATGGGGGAGGGGCGGAAGTAGCGGCGGAAAAAATGATGAAAGGAGGGGAAAAGTGAGAGGCGGCGAGGCGAAGGACCGGGGGAAGAGGAGAGCGCGAGGAACAAAACGAAGAATTTATAGAGATCCTCTGAAATTGAGTTAAAGGACGGGCATCCTTCCCGCCATCCACGGCCAAGGCAGCGGGGCGGGGTGGAGCGGGGCGGGGCGGGGCGGGCACCTCAGAGAGGGCAATCGAGGCTCAAAGGGAGGGGAGGCCAGGAAGCGAACCAGTCTCAAGGTATTCTCAGTGACGCTCCTCTCCTCCCTGTCCTGTCCGCGCCCCTCTCGCCCCTCCCCTGCACGCCCCCTCCCGCCCCGCGACCGCGCCGCCCCACCGCGTGAAAGGTGCGGTCGAGCAGGCTGGCCGCCACGCCCCACCACGCCCCGCCACGCCCTGCCACGCCCTGCCACGCCCCACCGCGCCCCGCCGTGCCCCGACCCGCCACGCCGCGC